TAATTGTAACGATTCGACTGGTTGTTTTGAGCTTTATCATTTCGTTCGATGATTTAAGGTCTTGAGTAGTTTCGTATTATGTATTTTTGACTTGCGTGTATGGTCAGTTTCGGCTTCCGGGCGATTCGAGATCAATTTGGGAGAATGATTCTTGTTTTAGAAGTTTAAGTGGTAAGAGTTGATCGGAGTTTGACTTTTATATAGACGAATGGGATGGAATTTTGATAGTTCCAATAGCATTGTATGGTAATTTTGGACTTAGGCGTATGTCCGGATTTGGAGGTCCGTAGGTTGATTTGATGCTTTTTGGCAAAAGTTGGAAAGTTAAAGGTTTGGAAAGTTGAGAGGTTTGACTGGGAGTTGACTTTGTTGATATCGAGTTCGGATTGTGGGTCCGGGAGGTGGTATAGTTCCATTCTATCATTTTAGGACTTGCATGCAAAATTTGAGGTCATTCCGAGTTGTTTTGGTATGGTTCAGCACGAGTTTTGAAAGTTGAAAGTTCAAAAGTTCCTTAAGTTCGATTTGAGGTGTGATTTGTGATTTTGATGTTGTTATGTGTGATTTGAGACCTTGAGTAGGTCCGAATTATGTTATGAGATTGGTTGGTATGTTCGGACAGGGTCCAGAGGGGCTCGGGTGAGTTTCAGACAGGTTTCAGACCATTTTAGACCATGTTGGTATTGCTAGTTTTCTGTTGTTACTTGTTGCCTCTAGTGTTCTTCACGATCGCGAAGGTCCAGCCGTGATAGCGAAGTGTGTTTTTAGTCTACTGTGGATTTGTTCTTCGCGGATGCGATATTTGGCATGCGTTCGTGAAATGTAAAGCTGATTGTTATACGCATTCGCGATGCAGTGTCGCGTTGAGGAGCTGGGAGCTGGAGGAAATGTCTTCGCGCTCGCGAGGTAGTTGCCTCGCGTAGGTCTGGGTCAATTGTGCATTGTGTTCGCGAGGACTATGCCGCAAACGCGTAGAGATATTTTGTGGCGGCGAGTTTTTGTTCATCGCGAACACGAGGGTCCTTCCGCGTTCGTGAAGTGTATACCTGGAGTAGACTATATAATACTCTATTTCGACGGCTTTTATTATTTTATCACTTTTTGAGTTAGAGAGTTCAGATTTGCGCAATTTTGGAGGGAATTTTCACGATTTGGATTGGGATAAATATTCTTGACTCGGATTTGGTTATATTTTATGATTCCGTCCTTGTTTTTATTATTTAATTAGTGATTTGATTTGGAGAAATTGGAAATTTTAGTAAAACTTTCTAAAACATAAAATGATGATTTCAAGACCGATTTGAGGTAGGAATTGGATGATTTTGGTATGGTTAAACTCGTATCGGAATGAGTGTTCGGATTTTATTGGTTTTGTCAGGTTCCGAGGTGCGGGCATGGGGTTGACTTTTTGGTTTTCATTAAAGATCGAAACTTTATTATCCGAAATTATTTCTTATGGCTTTTATTTATGATATTAAGTTATTTTGAAAAGATTCGAGCAGTCCGGAGGTTGTTTCATACGGGGCGGACTTTTTAGAGTATTGATTTAGCTTCTTTGACGTAAGTATCTTGCCTAACTTTGTAGGGGGGAACTACCCCTTAGTATTTGGGTTGATTGTATTATTTGAATTATGTGAAAGACGTATATGCGAGGTGACGAGGGTGTACAGAGACTTATATATGGTATTTGATCGGTTAGACTCCTAGCTTCTTTCATGCATTAATTGAAGTTGTCATATCATGTTATATCCTCCATGTTAAGTTTACTCTTACATGCTTTATTTGAATTTGTTAGCACATATTCTATCTTTTATTTGTCAAGTTTACTCTTATATGCTTAGTTGAAGTTGTTACCTCTTTTAATGACATATGTTACCTCTTTTATTGTTGAATTATTCTTATTTGAAGTTGCTATTACATGATATCCCTTTGTTGTAGAGTTATTCTCATGCATTTAGACGTAGTTGCTATTTCATGCCATCTTTTTCATTGTTAGCTTATGTTATACACTAGAATTCGAAGTTGTCATTTCATGGAAATATCTTCATTATTGAGTTTATTCTTAAGCAATTAATTGAAGTTGAAGTTATGGAGAGCCATTAACCTATTTAGTTGAAGTTATTGTTTAATGGAGTATCTTTCATTGTTGAGTTATTTTTTAGTTTCATTTTATTGCTATTGAGATTCTTGTATACATCGTGGTTGAGTCGTGGGCTATGTGTTGTGGTGATATCAGTATTATTATTTTGCGAAAAGGTTGTGGCCTATGGGCACTTGTGGTAAGAACTGGTGTATCGTGTTGTTGTGATGTTAGCACATGTGGATTTGTTGTGTGGATTATTACGAAGCATAAAGGTGACATCTCACTGTTGTTGATTGTGTAGAGTGATACGAGTGACTATTGTGTTATTGTCTGGGCGGAGTGATACGAGTGACTATTATGTTATTGTCTGGGTGGAGTGATACAGGTGGCTATTGCGGTATGTCTTGGCAGAGTGATACGGGTGGCTATTACAATCTTGTCAATATAGAGAGATAAGGGTGGCTATGTCAGGGATGATATGTGATGGCCTGGGGGCATAATGCTAATGATATTCGTGTGATGCCATGATTTTTCTTGTATGTGTCATGTACCTTACGTCACTTGTTATTTTGTTTCTAATGAGCTACTCGATGTATTTAATATTACTTATCGACTTGGACTGTAATAGTACACTCGCACATGCATACACCGTACTATGTTACTTATATCGGTCTAGGAGTATGAAACTTGATATTCATTGATCATGCACATGTATTTCTGTATATCTTCTTCATTGTGATATTGAGCTTGTGACCACATCGGACGAATTGTGATATTGAGTATGTGACCACACTGGACGGATTGTGATAGTGAGCCTGTGATTATGTCGGACGGATTGAGATATTGGCACGTGAGTTGTCCGTGCAGTTGTAATTGATAAAATGGGCAGGAGGTGCCATGTGTAAGTAATTCGTGAGTTGGGACTCGTGACTTGTGATTATGAGGAGTGGTATCTGAGGGTGATTTTGTTATAAACCTTGTGTTAGAATGGCTTGATTATTTGATTGTCATTTGTTTACCTTTTTTTATTTCACTGTACCTTAACGGTGTTCTGATTACTTTACTGTTTATATCACATGTTTATTCCTTGTTGCCATTTACCGATTCTTGCATCCGTTATTAGCTTTTACTTATATACTGCACCTGTTATTATGACTAGTAGGTGTCTTGACTTGTACCTCATCACCACTCCACTGAGGTTAGTCTTGATACTTATTGGGTACCAACCGTGGTGTACTCATACTACACTTCTGTATATTTTTGTGAAGATCCAAGTATTGGAGATAACAGACTCAAGCAGAGTTAGCTTCTTGATCGCGAAGATTCAAGGTAGAGCTGCTTGGTCGTCGCAGTCCGTTGGAGTCCTTTTCCTTTTAATTGTACTGTTAATTCGTTATCCGAACAGTATTTGTATTTTGTTTTGAGTTATTTCTATGTATTTATCTAGAGTTTGTGACTATGTACTACCTAGTCTTGGGAAGATTGTTGGAATTATTCCCGCGTAGGCTTGTATCACCTTTGTTTCGGTATTTATATTAAACTCTGCTTTAAAATATCATACTTGACTGATTTAACTGTTGTAAGTAACCGGGTTACCTAATTTTAGAAACTAGATACCATCACGACACCCAAGACATAATTCTGGGTCGTGACAATTATCGCTGGAAAAGCACATTTACGGAAAGAATGAAAACCTTTCGACAAGTTGTCCTCATTGAAAAGAAAAGCATATTAATTATCTATACCACATAAATTTTAAATTTATAAATATTAAGACTTTGTACCTACTGTAATATTTGATGAATAATTACAGTTGTTATATTCAACTGTAATTATATTTTATATCTAACCCAAAATACTATATTGTGATTTTGTTTTTGTTGATTCAAATTGTTAATATTAGCTCATCCTAAGATTTAAATGAGAAAATAATATAATATGCAATTTCTTAGGTGAACTACTTTGATTCACTATTCTTGAGATTTGTTCAGCAAAATAAATTATAACGAACCTCAATTTTACAATAAATTATTATAATCAGATTTTTCTTTCTTTGGCAGATCAATGTGAATTTTGTTGCAAGTCCATAATACCTATATTCATTATTATATATAATAGCACAATAAAACACTAATTTAGGAAGATTAGTATTGAATTCGATAACTTTAAGTTATATTGCTTCTTTCTTTCTTTCCTTTTTATTTGGCAAAAGCAAGAAAATCTCATTTTTGGACAATTAAAATACAAAATTTGGAATATAGTAATAAGTATAGTTATAAGGAAAAGGTTTGTACTATATAAAATCTAGCTGATTTAAAATTCTAAATATTAGGATTTCCTGCCTTGTTGAATAAGGAGGGATTTAATAATAAAATTTTTAGTTGATTTCAAAATCCTAAATATTGGAAAAGTAAACTTAGATTACAATTTTGTCTAATGTAAAATTTGTTTTTAAAGGATAAAAAGGAAAATAATATTTCGCGAAAGAATTTTGTACTTTTAATATAGTATATAGATGATATAGATGAATATAAGAAAGACTTTCAAATACCAAGAGCGTTATCCTCTAACGAAAGCAAGAAAAAGAAAATAAAATCTTCATAATAGACTAATCCATAACCTCCACAACACTACAAGAAAAAGCATAATTTGCGACCAACATTTAGGGACGAGTTAATAATCTCGACTTTAAAAGTATATATATTGGGACAAGATTATATTGCGGTTTTTAATTTTGTATTCTATTGCGAAGGTACTAAATCTGGTCCCTAGAGAAATTAGCAACTGGTCCCAAATTATAATTGAGGGGCCATAAGCGAGAGAGAGAGTGCCGCCAAATATAATATTAAAATTATTAAAAAATTATTATTTTCTAAAACATAGGCGTCAAAACTAATATCCTAAAATTAAAAATTCCAAAAATTAAAAGATTCTCTCTGTTTTCCCAAAACAAAATCCCCAGTTCTGCCCTAGTCTCTCCACATCCACGCATAGTCTTCTGCCTAGCTCTCTATTGACAACTCAAAATCTGTGTTTTCTCAAAACAAAGATTGCGAATTTGTTGGTTTGTGAATCGCAGGTCTATCCAGTTTTCAACCTCGCTCGTTTGCGAATCCCATGTATGCCTGATCTTCAGGGGCGGCCCTACCCTAAAGCAGGTAAAGTAACTTCTTTTTTATTACACTTATTATATTATATACTCTCTATGTTTCAATTTAGATGTGGTTGTTTGACTCGTCACGAAATTTTAAAAAAAAAAAAAAATTTAAAACTTGTGTCTTAAAAGCTTAAGGGGTAAAAGAATTTACTACTGGTATGATTTCTATCAAGAAAATTGCATCTGAAATGAAAATCAAACTCGAACTTTGTAAGTAACGTGTGATATATAGAAAAAAAATAATTTGACGTGAATATTGATATTGAAATCTCTTGAAGAGTCCTTCAGAGTTAATTACTATTTATACATAGTAAACAAGACTATCTTTTCACTTTAAAATAGATTTGAACAATTCGAAGCATATGAAAATATTTTCTATTTTCTATTTAGCGCAAAAAACTGAGATCACCAGATAATGGAAAATTGGAAAAATACTGCCTTAATCTTGAGTGTTCCTTAAAGCATAATAATCGATCTGATATTGATGGTTTAGATTTATTTTCTAAATTAAAAATGTTAAGGAAAATAGTACAATTAGAAGATAATAGTTTTGAATGGAAGCCTTGGCGTAACTGGTAAAGTTGCTACCATGTGACCAGGAGGTCACGGGTTCGAGCCGTGGAAACAGCCTCTTGCTAAAATGCAGGGTATGGTTGCGTACAATAGATGCTTGTGGTCTGGCCCTTTCCCGGACCTCGCGCATAGCGGGAGCTTAGTGCATCGGGCTGCCCTTTTAGAAGATAATAGTTTAATTGACATACTCAATCAAATAAAAAGATTTGATTCTTTTCCAAATGCCTATATTGCTTATAGAATAATGTTAATAACTCATGTTACCGTTGCTTCAGCAAAAAGAAGTTTTTCGAAATTAAAATTGATAAAATCTTAACTAAGTTCAATAATGTCTGAAGAGAGGTTAAATAAATGAACTATATTGTCAATTGAGAAAGAATTATTAGAAAAAAATTGATTATAAAAAAATTATTAATAACTTTGCATCTAAAAAATAAACTAAAAAAATGAATTTCAAATAAAAATAATAATTTAATAAAAAATTAAGGCCCCTCATAAAATTTGGCTTTAGGCCACAAAATTCGTGGGGCTGCCCCTACTCCTCTTCTGAGTTGCTCTTTTTCTTCTCTAAGTTGTAATTCGCTTTATTGCTTCGCTTTATTCGACTTCTTCTTCTTCTTCTCTAACATTAAATTGGAAAAGGTTTCACAATTTCGGGTTTTTTATCTGTATAGTCAATGGAAAGATTATTGAGTTGGGATTCCTAATTCGATAATTGATTTCTCTGAAGTGTTCAAGTTTGTAGCGTATTGTGTGTTGAATATTATGTTTCATACAAAGTGTATATCAATTTTGAAAAAGCAAATTATTTCATGAATTGCAGATTTAATTTTATGTTTTGAGTTTTGAGATTTAATTTTCGTGCATTCGATGAAGGAATAAGAGATAGACCATACGGCCATTGTTTAGTTACAGATATAAGCAAATACCCGAAAAAAGTAATTCGAATAGATTCAGCCAAAAAACAAGCGAAGAAATCATGGATTAAGGCTTTTATTAAGCTCGTTAATTACAATCACATTATGCCGACTCGTTATACACTCGATGTAGATCTGAAGGATGTTGTTAGTGTAGATGTTCTTCAGTTTCATGATAAGAAGGCTACTGCTACTTAGGAGCTAAAGCTCGTCTTGAGGAAAGGTTCAAGACTGGGAAAAATTATTGTTTTTTTTTTACTAATCTTAGGTTCCGATATCTTAATTTTTGCTTTAAAATTGAGGTTTTGTCTCAGTTATTGAAGAGATCAACGGGCGATACTGTTATTATTATCTAATAGTAGTAGTTAATGTGAGTCTGTTTTCCATAATATATTAATCGTCTACTGTGGCGAGATATGTAGTCTCTAAACTAGATTTTTTGTCCGTCTCTTAAAACATTTAACGACCAGGTTTCTGAACTTGTCGTTGTTGCCCTTTAGCGGCAAAAGCTATTATGACGGATTGCGACCAACTTTTTCCCGTCGCAATTGCTCTATTAGGACCAGATTTGGATCTTTAGGCACTAGATTTCCTTTCTTTAAAGGCCGTTTTTCTTGTAGTGCAACCAACCAAACAATACACAAGTTATAATTTTATATCAAGGCTTACAAATAAAAGATTATCCTCCTCGGTGTTAATTCTCACAGTGAAACATGATGTTATTGATGAAGGCATAAGTAGTATGAGGATGTTTAATAAGAATATCCGTTCAGAGAAATTTCAGTTGAAAGAAAAGAAAACGAATATCTGGACACTTAACAGATCTTTTCCCAAAAATATAGCGTCACCAACTTTTTCGACGTTTATAATAAAGCAATTACATATTGTAACTATCCGATAGGTCGTTTTAAGTACTAGCCTTTATATTTGTGTTTCGAGACCTTTCATAACTTTAATTAATGTATATGACTTGCATGCGTGGTCCCTGTTATTATTCGGAAAGTTTTTATGTGAAACTTTAAAGAAAATGTGATTTTGGCTTTAAAAACAACTTGAGTTGAGCATGGTCAACGTTCTTAGTAAACGTACTCGGATCGCGGTTTTGAGGATTCCGGTAGGTTCGTATGATATTTTTGGACTTGTACGCATGTTTAGTTGGAGTTCGGGGTGACCCGAGCGTGTTTTAGCGCATTATATGAAAGATTGTGAAAAATGAGTTTTCAGGTTGAAATTTTGAGTTTTGATCGATTCATGTTATTTGATGTATTTTGATTATTTGAGGTAATGAGCGAGTTTATATGATGTTATTACACTTGTGTGCATGTTCGGATTGGAGCCCGGGGGGCTCGGGTGAGTTTTAGATTGGTTTCGGACTATTTTTGGACTTGTTGAATTACTGGTTTTTTTGCTGGTGCACAGTGCTTCATGATCACTTCGCGAAGCCACTCTCGCGATTGCGAACGGAAAAATTTTGGGCTGGGGCTGGTACTGTTCCCGAATGCGAGAGGTTGATCAGGAACGCGAGGGCTTGGNAATGCGACCCTTTGGTCTCGAACGCAAGGGCTTGACTGAGTGATGCCTTCGCAAACGTGAAAGCCAAATGGCTTGTGTGCTTCGTGAACGCGGTAAGTGCTTCACGAATGCGAAGAACACGTGACACCCAATTATATAAAAACTCTTAACTCAGGATTTTGTCATTCTACACCATTTTTGAAACCTAGAGCTCGGACCAGAGAAGTTTTTGAAGAGATTTTTATCCCTACTTCATTGGTAAGTATTTTTCTACTAATTTTGATCTAATTCCATAATCACCCATTGATATTTAACTTTAAATTAGTGATTTCAAAGTAGAAATTAGAGATTTTGGGTAGAATTTAGGAGTTGGAAGAAATTGAGATTTAGACCTTGAATTGAGATTCGATTTTGAAACAAATTACATAACCGGACCTAGGGGTGAATGGGTAATCGAGTTTTATTCCGAATCTCGGATTTTGACCAAACGGGCCCGGGGTTGACTTTTGTTGACTTTTTCCAATTTCACTAAAGATTGAATCTTTTTCACTCGTGGGTAGTTTCTAAAGCTTATTTTGAATTGTTTGAACTATATTTGGCTAAATTTGATTGGTTTGGAGTCTTATTCTAAAGGAAAAGTTGTGATTGATCATTGATTTGGTCGCGGAAAAGAGGTAAGTGTCGTGGTTAACCTTGACTTGAGGGAATTAAGACTTGATTGGACTATTTTCTAATTGATTTATGTGTGGGACATCGTATATGCAAGGTGACGAGTGTATATACATAGTCATGGGTTAGGCATGTGGGTTGGGATATTTATTTGTTGTTCTCAATTATTTCATGCCGTCATTTAATCCTTATTACTTGTTAAATGCTTTAATTGTTACTTGCCCTTACTTGTTAAATTCATGCCTTTATTTCGCTACATGCCTTAATTTGCTATTTGTTTTTATGTATCCGTGCCTTTATTTATTGACTGTCTTTACTTGCTTTATGACATTGTGTGTTATTAAATAGCTACTTTTATCCGCTTTATGTATTTAATTATAAAATTCCCTTATTGCGTTTTATTCTGAGATACGCCGTAGTTGGTTGTAGTTTGTACATTTATTTTATATTGTTTGGGATCGGGTTACATATCGCAATAAATATTGGTATTATTGTGTGAGATCGTATTGCACGTCCCAACAGATATTGGTATTATTGTGTAGGATCGGGTTGCACGCCGCAACGGATATTGACATTATTAAGGATCGGGTTGCATGCCACAACGGATATTGGTATTACTGTTTGGGATCAGGTTGCATGCTGCAACGGTATATATATATGTTGTTGCGCCGCAACGGAGAAGACATGTTACGATTGTTCTTGATTGTTGTTCTATATCTATGTTGTACTGTAAATTGAGCATAGCTGTTATTCTGGGGCCCTCTATTGTGTATTTATTGTTCCGATTTTTATGTTAACTGTTGTTTCCTCTATTTATGCTATTGTTTTTACTTATACTCGTACATGTTTATAGTGAGTGCCTTGTTATAGCCTCGTCAATACTTCGTCAAGGTTAGGCTCGGCACTTACGAAGTACATGGTGTCAGTTGTACTAATACTATTCTTCTGAACTTCTTGTACAGATTCTGATGTTGGTCCCAATATCGGTTAGTGGAGACTCGCTCGGACTTTCTTACATGGAGAGTTGAAGTAGAGTTGCACAGCGTTCGCAGTCCCTGAAGTCCCCTTCTTATTTCTTGCATTGATATTTCATTCAAACAGTTGTATTATTATTATTTCAAAACTTGGTTGTAGTATATTAGTTTGTAGCTCATGTAAATATGACACCAAATTTAGGGATTTGACTAGACGGCGTATTGGAAATTATTATATCTATTTTGAAGTTTTATATCTTTTATTTCTTATTTAACTTTTTTATTTTAAATTGTTAAAATGAATAATGTGTAGCTAATGTTGGCTTGTCTAGTAAGTGAAGGCCGCGCGCCATTATGGCCCCGCGGTTAGGATTTCGGGTCGTGTTAAGTTGGTATTAGAGCACTAGGTTTCCTAGGTCTCAAGAGTCACGAGCAAGCTTATTTGAGTCTAGGAGATCGGTAAGAAGACGTCTGTACTTATCTTCTAGAGGCTATAAGGCTTTAGGAAATTTCACTTCTTTCTTTCCCCATCTTGCAATTTTATTCTATCGTTAAGTTTGAATCATTCTATTCTTGTTCTCTCACAAATGGTGAGGACACGCACAACATCCACAGCGGACCAGGAGCCGGAGCCCCTAGTTGTAGCCACTACCATGGGTAGGGGCCGGGGCTGAGGTAGGGCCAGAGGCAGGGGCAGAGCTCAGCCTAGAGCACGCGCAACATCACCTATAGTGGAGCCTCGAATTGAGCCACAGGAATATATTCCTGTTCAAATTACGCCAGTTGGACCAGCTCAGGTCCCAGAGGGGTTTATTGCCACTCCCCTCCTATAGGACGCTCTATTCCGTCTGGTGGGCCTTATTGAGAGTGTGGCCCGGGACGAAGTATTTCCTATGGCACCAACTGTCTCTCAGGCGAGGGGAGGAGCCCAGATTTCCGCTACTCACACTTCAGAGTAGATGGCTCACGGATATCATACTCTGGTAGTTCCATCAGTTTGAGTTGTTCAGCATGTCATTACTACACAGCCTAGGGAAGGACCCACTATGTCGTCCGAGGGGTTGAAGAGATTGGAAAAGTTCACTAGGTTGTTTCCTATTCAACTTAGTGGTACACCTTTTGAGGACCCACAGAATTTCATACACCGTTGCCATGAGGTACTGCGTAACATGGGCATGGTGGAGTCCAATGGAGTTGACTTTGCGGTATTTCAAATGCATGGTTCTGCCAAGAGGTGGTTGCAAGAGTATGTTCGAGGCATACTAGCAGGTTTACCTCCTCTCACTTGGGATCAGTTCTCACAGCTATTCTTGGAGAAGTTCATCCCCTTCACTCTAAGAGAGGACTACCTCAGCCAGTTTGGGCGCCTCCAGCAGGGTTGAGGACTTTGTGGATTTAGCTTGCTATGCAGTTATCTTGATCCTTACTGAGAGGGAGAGGGTGAGGAGGTTTATAGATGGTCTTACTTATGGTATCAGGCAACAGATGGCCAGAGAGATCGGGGATGATATTTCTTTCACATGAGTTGAGGAGATTGCTAGGCAGATTGAGAGGATTCGTGGATAGGGTAGAATTTTGCTTTCAAGAGCTGCTTTTTCGTGCTTAACTTAATATTACTGAAGCCCCTTACAGGTAAGCAGAAGAGTTCTATTGTCCGGCTTTTTAATTTTATGTATATAAGATTTTCATAGTTGACACCTTTTGTTAATATTCTTTCAGATTGTTGTTGTGAAATTAATAGTTATCAATTAGAAATACTGCACAAATACTTCTACCCTTCAATAAGTGGATTGTCCTGTATTGCTATGCTAACTAATGCTCTAACAATTTGTCAAGTGCTTACTTCTTTAATTAAGAATAGCAAAATAGGATAACACTTACGAATAAGTAGAACTCGGATCAAATAAAACTGATACATCTTAATGAAAAATCGAAATAATACATGTGATGACCGCATCAGAGGACTCTACCGCTATGTCTAGCTGGGAATGCATAGAACGGGGCTGATTCCTACCAGTTTGATCTCCATCTCTCGGACGGCCTCTCCCTGGCTAGCCTCCAACTCCAATAACCTTACCCTCACCTCGGGCTACCTGACCCTCACCTCTAGCTGCCTAAGCAGGCGGTGGGGCAACTGTTGCTGAATCATGGCACGAGAACCATGATGAGGCACACTGCTCTGAAGTTTGGGCAGTACCTCCTGATATGACTCGTACCTCCACACTCAAAGCACTCTCTCGGCTGACGTGGCTGCTGAATCTAGGACTGACCCTGACCGTATGGATAACCACTGTGGTAGCTTTGAATTGGTAGTGCAGTGATGGCAGCTGAAGGTGCATTGTAGGCTACCTGCTCAGGATGAGACCCATAAGAACCACGACTGCCTGAAGCACCGTGTGATGCCTGAATTGCTGACTGAACCGGTCCGATAGGATGGCCTCTACCAAATGAACCCCTACCTCTAGATGAGGCACAACTAAAACCACTGAAATTACGAGGCCTTTTCTTAGATGCCGCCTCTCTGATCTATGGTTCTGGTTTCTAACTCATTAAACCGTACATCGATATGATATTGGAGAAGAGAGATATTTGCAGTTTTTTAGTTTCAAAACCCCATCATTTACATAACAATTCTTATAACATGTTACATGCAACAAATTACTTAAACTCTGCAATTATCCACGTTGAGAAGAAAAGCCAAAGCTGGATTTGCTACGAAAAATATTATCCAATTGTTAACCAAATGCCTTAAAACTGAGGACAAATGATCCATCTCTAGTTTCTCTTGCATTCATGTATACCTACATTACATTACCCTTTAGAAGACAGTTCAATAATTTACTGAAAATCTGGATTGTGATAAATAAAGGCTACAATTAGAAATAGAAAAGCATGACAAAATTAGAAGAAAAAGGTACAATATGATCATCAAAAGCAAAAAAAGAGTTAATGGTCGGCAACGCCATTGTTTTTTTAATGGTAAAGGTAAACAACACCATTGTGTTTGATTTGAGAAAAGAGAGAGAACTTTAAGTACCCTTTCTCTGCTTCAAGATCCATCATATGTTCTTCCAGACTTCCTCAGATGAGTACACAAGCGACATTCCCATGCCTGTAAGGTTGTGAGCATTAGAAAAAGGTGGATTTATATACAAACTCAAAAGACAGTAGAAACTTTTAACCTCCCTAATGCTTTCATTTGCTATAGAGAGGGCTATGCCAATAGAACTCATAAAGATTGAAGTTCTCACCTCTACTCAATTCCTCTATCTGAGAGGTACACCCAACTCTATTTATTTCATTTCATTCATGTTCTACAATATTTTATCTAAATTACTTGTCTCGTTTGAGGAAATATAAGTGAAAATTGATCAAGTATAAAATTCTAGAGTTTTGTTGAGTAAATAAAGAGAAGCACAATTATAACCTCTTTTTTCGTTACCATTTTTAGCATATACCCATTTAAGTTTCACATTTATGTCGTAGACTACTGAGGCGCTTCATGCACCTGCGTGAACATGCATGGCATAGGTAAGCCTACTTCCTATGAATCATTCATCATGCTAAATAATCTGCTTAAAATTGATCTGGCACTCTAATCCATGTGGCCTTCTTTGTCAAATATCCTCTTTCTCTCCATCAACATTAGACTTTAGCTGCAACTAATAAGTTTATAGAACTTCCCCACACGCGTTCAAACTTCAATAAAAGTTTGGATGCTTTTTTCCTTTAACATTTTGAACTCCTGATATGAAGAAATACAGAACCCAATTCTCATTGTTTGATGTCTATCTTGTCAAAACATCAAAATTTCAAATAAAAAATTACCTACCCCCAAGTAAAAATGCCTCAACAACCTTTGTATTTTTTTCCAAACCTTACCAGTAAATGATCTACTCTCAAGTTAGCTCATAATCTCATCATAAAGCATCAAAGTTGCCTTTAATGGACTCCTTAAACATCACAAGACTAATAGAGAATCTATAGAACTTTAACAAGAACTTACCTGTCGAAACTTAAGCTCTACGGAGCCATCCATTAACTTTTGGAGGTGGTTGATTTTGATCTCACTTTGTATTGTTTGATGACATTATGTTTTGCTCGCCGGCAACTTCGATCAGCCAATTAAACAAATTGCGCACAGAATTAGATAGCAAATCAAATGCTTAAAATAAAGAGCAAAAATTGTTATATAAAAACAAAAAGTGTGGACCTATTTTTCTTCTTTTAATATAATAGGTATTTTACCGTTTGTTTTTCAGTTCAATGACAAGGAAAGCAATATGTACCAGAAAGGATTCATATGTTAAATGCAAATTTAATTTTTCCTTGAAGACAACTTGAAAATTAGTCATTACGGTGCAAACGTTTGGACCATTTTCTGGAAAGCCTTATCCTTCTTTGAAGTTCTAGAACTCAAAACTTCTAAAAGGGAAGGCCGGTTCACAAGGTACGGTATCCCGCATTAACGCAGGGTCCGGAAAAGGATCGCACTCCAAGAGGTGTGATGTAAACGACCTACCCTAATGCAAGCATTAATGGCTGCTTTCACAGCTTTTAAACTCACAAAGTAAACTTTTTTATCTCTCCTTCAAGAAAAGCAATAAACAAAAGATAGTATTAATTTGCAACCAAAAATAAAAACTTAAAACCATCACAGTCCAAGATCCCATATTCTCTCAAACTATTATGATAACAAATTGACAACAGTCCACCAAAGAATCACTTTCGGCTAACATCACGTATATAAACTGTGGCTTATTAACTGCATAGAGTTGTTGAGTAACCTAAGATTTTTAGATAAAAGGAGCCAAGGTATGGATTTGTAATAGTATAATGTGTGACTCTAAATCTCATACGATTTTTCAGCAGGGGAGATGTAAGGTTTATGCTTTTTCAGTGAATAAAATGCCATTTTGAAATAGTTTTAGTATATATAAAGAAAAAATCAGTCGAAGTTACAAGAGTAAAAAGCGGTGAGTATAAGGTTAATATAAGCGATATTCCTTGACACAATTATCACAACTAACGTTGGACATAAGTAATAGAAGCTCACCACTTATGTTTATCCGATGTTTACCTGTTAATCTCCAACGTATTTGAATTTCAAGAAAAAGGGACAGAGTAACATTAGTTGACACAACTCAAAGACTGGTCAAGAAAAGAAGGAAAAACTAAAGGGAGATATATACTACAACCATCCAAAAAATTGTTGAATACCTGAAAAATCAAACAAAACAACCAGCATTAAAATGGTGTAGAAACTGAACCAAGCTACAATTTGCAACAAAGTCACAAATGAAAAAACCAAAAACTAAAAAACAAAAATATCAAAAAAGAGATCATATTTCCAGAATAATATACAACCAAGCTAACACATGCAGCACAAAGAGTAACTTGATGAAAATAAGAGAAAATCATAGCCTGAAATTTTTATGTGAAACAGGACTTGACACCTGCAGCGCAAAAAGTTTATCCAAATTAAATGCGGTATAAATTCACTGACTCGCTGCTAATTAGTAGAGAGGAAACTAAAAGTTCACAAGAAATTTCAAAAGAAACCAAAAAAGAAGAGGACTAAGCAGAGAAGCAGAAGATTGAAAACAAAACTTGAGCGGAAACGGAATTAGAGAAAAGTAGAAAACTCAGAAGAAAGAAGAACGACAGCGAGAGAAAGCAAATAATAGACCCTTGCATATAAGAAGGAACATCAGAACTATCGAAACCTCTGATCTTCAGTAATGTGTTGAATCCTATGAAATATGTACATGGATCTTTAATTCTCTTAAAGAAAGGATAATCAGTAGAGTCAATTTGGACCTCTAATTCAGAAATTTGAAAGAAAACTTCGACTGATTTTTTCTTTATATATACTAAAACTATTTCAAAATGGCATTTTATTCATTAATGCTAATAAATATCCTGATTCTATTGAAATTGTTAAACTAAGCATTTCAATTATGTGGCAAATTTGGAAGGCTAGAAATTTATTGAATTTTAATGGGATATATGTGAACCTAATGAAATTGTAAACAAAGCACTTTTTGATTTTCATGAATATGAAAATTCTATGTTTACTATCTCTTCCCCTTCCCACACATCTGACTATTCTTATAATAAAAATATCACTGTGGCACAAGATGGTGTTGTTATGTTTGCAGATGCTGGGTTACAATTGGAAAAGAAGATGGCAAGCATTGGAGTGGCGGCAATGGATAGCTATGGTAATTTGCTTCAAGCCTTTGGCACCCAATTCAATTTGTTGGGAAAGCCATTACTGCTGAAGTACTAGCAATTCGTGAAGCTCTGGAAAAAGTTAGAGAAAATGGATGGTCAAAGGTGCATATTCTATCGGACGCAAAAAATGTGGTGGATATGATAAGAAAAAGGATAGTGGTCTCATGGGAGATAAAAAAACTACTTGTGTGAAGATATCTGAAAGATGATGAATTCCTTTGAAGATATAAATATTGAATATATTCCTAGATCTTGGAATGTATGCTAGCCAAGTTTGCCAAGTTTTCTATTTCACTGTTATATAGAATTAATTGGGTTTCTGCTTTTTCCTAGTTGGATTGTAAACGATGCAGTTGCATCCTTTGACTCTTTGAAAGCTATTATTATATAATATAGTAAAGTTGTTTGTTGAAATTTTTTTTGAAGAAACCGGGTTTGTTGCTGAATAAAGTATAAAGGAAGAAGGAAGATATGGATTTACCCCATGAAATAACTTATATTTACGGGATATGCCCTTCGTCGTACCAGGCCACTTCCACTTGTTATATAGTTAAAATTTGGCAAATTGAGCCCAAAATAATTAGCATTATATAGCCAAATCTAAAAAAAAAATTAAAGTTATTCTCTATTTATGCTCTCTCTCCGTGCTCCTTTCCCACCTCTTATTACCATCTCTTTAATATCTATTCTTTGATCTCTCATCTGATTTCAACACGGACAAGGAACAATAACTTAAAAACCATTGTCATCCTTACTTCTCTTCTCCAAACGATTTTATCCATCTTCAGACATACAAAACCTCCACCAATTTTTCATGGCTACCTTCGTTATTTTTAACCAGTAAAGTAACCGTTAATTGTTTATCTACCACCGGCCATGAGCCACAACCGCGACCATGCTCTAAGACTTTCCTCTTCTTCTTCTTTTCTTTCAAGACGTAGATATTAATTTTCTTTTTCTTCCCTCTTCTTCTCTCTTTTTTTTTTATTGTAATTCTATTTTGTGTTTACGATGGTATAATTGGTGGCTATGGTATTTTTATGGTGGTGATACGGCAAATGATGTGTAAAAATAAAAAATATAGGCATTTGAGGTAGTGTACATTTGTGTATATCATCATGTATACATGTATGTGTATCATGTCGTATATCGTAACATATAATATTAGATGTGTGATATACACGATATACAATATGATATACATTATCATGGATTTGTTAGATTGAGGGCCATTTTGATATACATTTTTACATACAGAAAATAGGAAAATAAGGTTATAATATACATTTTGATATACACTTTTTATTGTGTTATCCACTGTGATGTACAAACAATATAGTTATTTTTTTACACACTTGGATATACAAGAAATAAATCGGTTACAACAAAATATACATTGTTAAGTGGATAAATCCCTCTTCGATGAAGATTTCTTTTCCATCTTATACCAAGTTTTATCTAGAAATAAGTCGCTCATAAATTAAAAGAAAAAAGACACAATGCAAATTACTATCCAAAAATAACGATGAAGATGAAGCCTAATATAGTGATTACGAGGGAGTAAAACAAGATAGAGATTTGGGGATAAATTGAAAGAATCAAGAGAAACATTTAGGGAGAAAAAGAATAAAATTGTTAGGAAAGAGAGAGAGAGAGAGAGAGAAGGGTATGAGTGAGAACTATTGAACTATTAAGCTTCATATACCAAAGAAAAAGATTGGGAGAGAGAAGGGAAAAGAAGAAGAAAGGCATGGTTTGCCAAGCAGGGGCGGCTCAAGCATATACGGGGTTGTCACGACCCAAAACTAGCCTGTCGTGATGGCGCCTAACGTGATAATAGGCAAGCCGACACTTCAAATACTTCCAACACTTTTAAATGAAAAATAAAAATAACACAGGTGTAAATCATCAAAACTGTCACGGCCCAAAACTGGGGAGCGCGACCGGCGTTCAACCGAGTGAACCTGACCGAGCAAGCCTGTTAGATTTTCTTCTACCCAACTCATCCATGAATGGAGATAATACATATTTTTATTAATTAGATAAAAAGGTGTTCATGTCCACAATACCAATTCATTACCAATAGTTCTATCATTTTTAATGTCTTAAATAGAACAAGTAATACAACCACAACATATCATAGTTTGTCTTTTTCAGCGCCAATACACAACCCACAATATGTCTACAGAGCCTCTAAAATACAAAAGAGTACAATGATAGTGCCGACAATAAGGCTCCGGCTATACCTCAAAATATGATAACACATACGAAATAAAAGATGCACAACCCCGGAATGAGATGGGGCTCACCAAGTCAGCTGAGAAGAATGAGCACCACTATCACTGGTCAAAATCCTCCGCTGTGGAACCACCTGCATCCATTAAAGATGCAGCGCTCCCGGAAAAAGGGACGTTAGTACATGTCGAATAGTACTAGTATGAAAACTAAACACCAATTAAAGAATTCAGAAATACAATATAAATATGATGAACCAGGGCGACAATAGAATGGCATAGTTAATCGTTTAAACCAAAGCAAGTTTATCAAGAGCTGTCATTAACATTTATAGAATTTAAGATGTGATCCTCTGTAACCGTTCCCACACAAAGCGGCCCCGCCGCCTCACCCCAATGTATGCGGGTGGAAGTGTAAATACAATACCAAAACTCTACTAAAGCGGCCATGCCGCCTCACCCTAATGTATGCGGGTGGAGGTGTAAACACAATACCCATAACTCTACCGCCTCACCTCAATATATGTGCGCGTGAAAATGCATCAACGATACCAATACCTACACAAAGCGACCCTGCCACCTCACCCCAATATATATATATATATATNTACTAGATGTGCATTAATGTTTCAAGGTCCTTTTATGGAGGATTCCATCATCCCACAACCCAATATCTACCGTTTTTAGCTCAACAATCTCCCTACACCCTTTGATAACATGCATGTAAAATAAACAACTCTCATGCCCAAATATTATCTTGCTAATTACCCATTTCTAGACAAAATTCAAAATTGAGGGTTAGGGTGTAGAATCTTACCTCTAGGATGAAGACCTAGTGAGTTTCCCTTCTTAATCTTCCAAAATTTGAGCAAGAATTAAAGAACAATTATTGAGGAACACCTTCTCACTCTAGGGCACTCTCTCCCACTCTAAAATGTTAGATTTTTACTCAAAAATGGCCCAAAGCGTGTATTTAACGAAGTAGGGTCGGGTTTTAAAAATTCAAAAATGAAGCTCCAGAACAAGGTCTGCGATCGCATAATCGATATGCGGACCGCATATCAGCCATATAATTAGTGTCCAAAGTTGGCCAAACATTTGCTTGGGTTTGCGGTCACTATAAGGCCCACAGACCTGTTCTGCGGTCACATAATGAACCGCAGAACAGTTCTGCGGTCTCATAGTCGACCACAGAATGGCATCCAAAATTTCCCCTCTCCTGCCTCACTCTGCGGCCATTATGCGGTCCGTAGAGTGATTCTGCGGTCGCATAATGGACCGCAGAAATGCATTTTTATGCCAAATATTTTCCTTTATCCCTCAACATGTAAACCAATTCGGCACCACAAAATATTATTTTCTTTTGCAAAATTTTACGGGGCCTTACATTCTTCCCCACTTAGGATCATTCGTCCTCGAATGAGGGTCAAAATCTTTTATTAGCATCTTATGCAACTCAGTTTTCATACCACACACTAGCATCCCCAAATTTGACTAACTCCCTAAATTTTCAAAAATTTCGCCAGAGTTTCCCCTGTAACTGGACCTATCCACCTGTCAGAGAACCACAAAAATACACCCTCAAAACATATATATAATCCAATAACGTAACATAACTTATAACAACACCAACCATGGCCTCACATACAATATATTTAGAAAGAAGCACCTTTACATTACTGAACAAGTGATACAAGAATCCATAAGCGTCAGTTTATAGAAAGGTTACATAACTTATACAAAACAAGTAAGGATACTTCTTTTTCATCTCTTCCTCGGCCTCCCAAGTAACCTCTTCAACTTGTTGGTTTCGCCATAGCACTTTCACGGAGGCAATTTCTTTATTCCTCAACTTTCGGACTTGCCTATCAAGAATGGCAACTGAAATTTCTTCATACGACAGTTCTTCATTAACCTCAATAGTCTCAACCGGAATAATGCATGTTGGGTCTCCAACTACTTTCTTCAACATAGATACATGAAACACCGGGTGCACTAATGACATCTCAGGTGGTAGCTCAAGCTTGTACGCTACCTCACCGATCCTCTGAATGGTTTTGTACGGTCCGACATACCTCAAACTCAATTTTCCTTTCTTACCAAACCGCATCACACCCTTCATGGAGAAAACTTTCAAGAATACCCAATCATCTTCTTTGAACTCCAAATCCCTACGACGAACATCCAAATAGGATTTCTGACGACTCTAGGCAGTCTTCAACCGCTCCTTAATGATTTTAACTTTTCCATAGCCTGATGCACGAGGTCTGGCCATATCAACTCTGCTTCCCCAATTTCGAACCACCCAATGGGAGATCTGCATCTCCTTCTATATAAAGCCTTGAACGGTGCCATCTGAATGCTAGAATGATAACTATTGTTGTAGGCAAATTCTATGAGTCATCCCAGCTACCTTTAAAGTCTAGAACGCAAGCACGCAACATATCCTCAAGCGTCTAAATAGTCCGCTCTGACTGCCCATCAGTCTGCGGGTGAAAGGTTGTACTAAGATTCACCTGAGTACCCAGACCTTGCTGAAATTTCTTCCGAAAATTCGCAGTGAATTGTGCTCCCCGATCAGAAATGATGGAAACCGGAGTGCCATGCAACCTGACTATTTCTTTGATATACAACTGAGCATACTGTTCCGTTGTGTCGGTAGCCTTAACCAATAAACAGTGTGCTGATTTTGTGAGTCGATCCACAATCACCCAAATTGAGTCAAACTTACGAGGAGTGTGGGGTAATCCTACCACAAAATCCATATTAATCATTTTCTACTTCCACATTGGAATTTCTATGTTCTGTGCCAATCCACAAGGCCTTTGGTGTTCGGCCTTCACTTGCTGACAATTTGGACATCTCGTCACAAAGTTTGCTACATTTCTATTCATATCATTCCACCAATAGACTTCCTTAAGATCATGATACATTTTCCTAGAACCCGGGTGCACGGAATACCTAGAAGTGTGAGCTTCAGTCATAATTCTTTCACGGAGACCATCTACACTTGGAACACACAGACGCCCTTGGTACCTTAGTGTACCATCACCCATGCCAAGAGAAAAGTCCA